ATGGTAAATGTTTAAATGCATAATTGCTATGGTTAACTTAGAGTGTAAGGATAAGTAAGTATTATATGGTATGTATAACTGTTTTTGTGTATTTTATACAGGTTGTTTTTTTGGTGAAAAGCACGTTAGCTTTCCCCCTACAAAACAACTTATAAAGAGGGGAGGTGTTACATACAGCACTGATGTTACCTGTCTGTCATGGGTTTGGAGGGAAAGTTCCATCCTATGGGGAGTGGAAGGCGGGACATCAGGAGGAGGGGCTGTACTGTATAAATATGTGATGCCTGTGTGGTGAAGTTGAGATGCTGGGAGATGCTGAGAGACACTGGGTTGTGACGAAGCAGCAGCTGGGAAGAAGAAGCTGGTGTGGGAGTCTGTGTGTCAGACAGGGTACTACTGTGTGTCAGAGTACCAACCTGATAGGTTCAGGTGTCTGTTGGTTAGCCAGAACTGATAGGTTCAGGGTCTGTGCTTCAAGTTAAGGGTTCTGGTCCGAATAGTCAAAGCTATGGTTTTTCCTGTCGTGATGTATGGAAGTGAGAGCTGGACCATAAAGAAAGCAGACCGCCAAAGAATTGATGCCTTTGAATTGTGGTGCTGGAGGAGGCTCTTGAGAATCCCCTGGACTGCAAGGAGAACAAACCTATCAGTTCTAAAGGAAATGAACCCTGAGTGCTCACTGGAAGGACAGATCCTGAAGCTGAGGCTCCAGTACTTTGGCCATCTCATGAGAAGAAAAGAGTCCTTGGAAAAAACCTTGATGTTAGGAAGGTGTGATGGCAAGAGGAGAAGGGGACGACCGAGGATGAGATGGCTGGACAGTGTCTGCGAAGCAACCAACATGAATCTGACACAACTCTGGGAGGCAGTAGAAGACAGGAGGGCCTGGCGTGCTCTGGTCCATGGGGTCACAAAGAGTCGGACACGACTAAACGACTAAACACACAAACACATTGGGCCCTTAGCAGGAAACCAGCCTTTTCTACTCAGCTTTACTTACAACTCTCTGTGCTTAGCAGTAAAATATGATTCTTAACAGCAATTGGACATTGCTTTAATGACTATGGCAAAACTCCTAGTCTGACAGATAATCATCATCAAGAGAATGATGGTGGTGGTGATATTATTATTACTGGTATTCAGGAGGTAAAGCATATTCTTAGTTTGGAAGTCTGATTTTGAGACACAAAACTGTGCCGAATCACGTCTCCTGAGCAGTAACAGATTTTCAGGTTTTTTGACTGTCCTCTGCTGCAGATAATTCAGTCTTCTATGGCTAACAATCTGTTTTTCCCCTTGAAGATAAGATATTTCTGCATCCCTAAAACAAGGGCACATGTTTTTCTGAAATGTTACTGTTGTGGACCATCAAGTCGCTTCCAAATCATGGGAATCCTGATAATATTTTTTTTTTTACGTATGTGAAACATTCAAAGTGTGGTTTATCATTGCCACTCCCCCAGTAAGTCTCCACGGCCATCTGGGAATTTGAACCCAGCTCCCTTGAGTCCTAATAAACCTTGTATTCATCACACCGTACTGGCTACACCACATTCATCTTGAGCAAAAGCAACGAAAGACAAAATGTTATCCAAGCAATAATCTGACATGATTTGAATACTTATATACTGATACTGTACAGTAATAGTTTTGCAGATACATATTTTAATGCATTTAAATATATTTTATTTTTTTCTATTGGCTTTTTAAGCTGCTTGTTTATCTGCTTTGTGAACTGTAATCAATTTACAACTGGTGGTAAAAGTTAAAAGAGAACCCCGTAGCGGACCAGTTATTTGTGACATTCCACTTTTCTCCATGAGACACCATTCTCTCCTACCTTCGCTTTTTTAAAGCAACCAAAGAGCGCCCTGCCTTCTCATTTACCTCACAAACAGGAAGCCTCTTTCTCTGCAGGGTCTCGAGGGCTAGTAGCGAGCATCTTCTAAGCAAAGAAAAAAGAAAAAAAAGAGAGAAGCTGGCCTACTTTCCACACCCGATCACCTTCCAAAACGGATGTTCGGCTTCTATACATTGCTGTCATCAACCCGCTCTCTCTGCGCAAAGTGGTATCATGGATCTCAGAACTCTTCACTTGATGTTTATTCTGATTTCAGGTAACTCTCAGAGGTGTGTTGAACGTTGCCATCCTTAGGTAGTACATTAGGATGACTGTAGATTACGGATGTTTAAAAATTATTAAATTATTTGAAATTATTTAATAATTAAATATAACATTTTTAATTTTATCACTGGACCTGCTCCTACATCTTCAACATTTGCTGGTTAAATGGAAATTAGGTAAAATATTTCCTAATTACGGACGTACCATCATAGAACTTCATCTCCTTCCTTGCTATATGCTCAGCTGCTGTTAAAAATATAGAAGTGAAGGGGTTTTTTTTAAGAGACAAAAAAAGGATGTGATTCTAGGCGTCTTTAGCAGAAACTCAGTGGAGAGACTTTGCTTCGATGGCAATCGGGAGAAGAAAATGGTGTTTATCTCACAGTGAAGATGGCTGCTAAGCCCTGGTTTTTATTATTGCTTTTCCTTGCATTTTATGGCTTGGCTTGGTTTCTTGACCCTTTTGCTCCATTGGTTGCTTGCAGTTGTGTTATGCTGTAGTCTGGATTATGTGGGGGTGGCTTTCTGGGCAGTAGGGGCATTGGCAGCCTTACCTTGCAGAGTGAGGTCATTTGTAGAAATTTAACATAAGAGGTTTTTTTTTAGGGCTACAGCTCCCAGAATTTTCCACCCCACAGTGGTTGTGCTAGCTGTGGGTTTCTGGGAGCTACATTGAAAGCAAAGGCTAGGCAAGTCCTTGAAAGAGGAACAATTAGGGCACCTTTCCCCCCCTCATGTATTTTCTGTTATCGCTCTCGTAGGTGTTTGGGCTCAGGATCTCGTGGTTTCCCAGCCTGGCTCGACTGAAGCCACGGAAGGGGAATCCGTCCTGTTGCGATGCTCCTACAACTCCACCTCACGGCCTAAAGTCGGCAGCTACTGGTGGGTGAAGGACCCAGGCCAACTGGCCGTCAGAAACACCACCCAGGAATTCATGGGGAGAGTGATTGCTGTTAAGGATCGGGCCTTCCTCGTGGACTGGAAAGCTGATATATGGATAAACGACCTGCGTCATTACGACTCAGGGTTGTATCGATGTGCGGTGAAACTCCCCGGATTCCGAGAGGCATTCGGGAATGGGACCCAACTTCGTGTGGTTAAGCCAAGCACTGGAAGTGAGTGGATTTCTTGAGAGGGAACCTTTTGGTCAGGTTGAAGGAATGCATTCAGGGCTCTCAAAAAGGGAGTGTTAATTCTCTGCAATGTCCTTGAGTGTTTGTTGATCCTGTTGATTTTCTCCCATAGAATCCAGATTCTGGTTAAAAAGTAACACAGTCTGTGACCTTTTTCTGGGCTTTTTCATTTCCTCGTGAGTGATTCTTTGTTCAAAGGGACTGAAATTAAGGAACTTGGTACTTCCTTGAGAAAGTTCATCTCCGTGTCCTCAACCCCTCTCTTTAGAAGCTTTCAATGAAAATGATCAGATAACTTTGAAAAATCAGGAAACTCCCAAAGAGAAGTATCAGCAAGGGAATTTGGTTCCTTATTTAATTTCCCTTATTTCCTTCCAAAGAATTTTCAGAGGGTGTAATATTTTAGAAGTCAGTTTTAAAGTTAGTTTAAGATGCACATCCTGGTAAGACCTTAAGTTCATCTCCACGCCCATAAATTCCCCACCTTCAGAAACTTTAAATGAAAATTATAAGTTTCTGTTGAAAAACCAAAAGAGAAAGAGAAGGGAACCTTGAGCGAGAGAGGTTGATTCCTTATCCCTTTCGTTCCATTGATTCAAATGGGCCTACTCTCTTGCAATTCACTTAGTAGTATATGAGGATGAGTGGGCAAAAATTTACACATCAGGTAATATACATCATACAGAGATGTATGTAATGTGAAAAATCCACGTGGATTCAAATATGGACTGCAAAAATATTTTCCAAGTTCAGGAAAATGAAATTTAAGAAGAAAAAATTATTGGAAGTTCAGAATTAACCAAAGATGAGATTGGGAGTAGGTGGGAAGGTAAAACAATGAAAACAACAACAAAAAATAATAGTTTCATCCACTGATACTTAAAAGTAACATAAGGATTCTTCTCTGGAATAGAACAGTTTATTTAAAAACTCACAGTAAACTATATAAAGCTATAGTGTGGTGCAAAGTTTGGCTTCAAGATCAAATTACCCTTGCGCCCTGGACAAGAACAGGCTTCAGACTGCCTTTTTTGGTGCATGTTGCCGTCACTCCGAAGTGGAGAATGCTCAACAGAAGAATATTTCCAGTAGCATGAACAAAGGGCAAAGAACTAGATCAGTGGTTCCCAACCTTTTTTTTTTGTCGTCTTGCACCCCTTGGTAGCCCATTTCCATAAATTGTACCCCCCACCATAACAAAGCAGCAGAAAAGTATTTTATTTATTATAATTTTGTAATTTAAAATACTTTACCCACCTTTCTCTTTAAAAAAGGACCCGAGGCAGCATACAACATTAAAAGATAGTATGTATTCTTTATCAAAAGAATATGTGAATGATTTGATATCTAACTTGTGGTTTTGTATCATGCTTAGCTCTTGAAGACGGCTTCGCTGAAACGCACTGAGCCAGAGCTTTTTAACTACCTATTTAAAGAATACAGAATAAAGAATTTGATTCTATTTTCTACATCCTGAGACTTCGTCTCTCATTTATAATCTGGACCACTGTGGATGTACCACTTCCTTTTGTTTTGTTTTACTTTAGTTTACAACACTTCAAAGGCACTTTGAAATCACACATTGCAGAATGAAGTTTGAAGCATGTGCTGGTTACAGCCCCAATAAACTCTTTCCTCTTTTCATCTGTTTCAGGGGAATTACAATCCATTTCCCACTCTGTTTAGTGGGAACAAACAAATCAAATATTATCTCAAAATAATATTTGAGAGTACAATTTGTAGCAATTAATAAGAATTCTTCCTTCAGGCAATTCATAGTCAAAGTCCTGTTGCATAAACTACATATCTGGAAGGTTGTTGACATGATTTTTGATAATGATAAATGCCTTACCTCTGTCCTGTGGCTTTCCCAACTCCCATGCAATGCCTTTAATTATATGGAAGCATGGGAGCTGTGGGACAGAAGGAGAAAGTCTTTAATTGCAGAAAATCTCCCTCTGCTGACAATATCATCTGACACTGGTGACTTTCAGTAAGTAAAGGCTTCCTCCTTCCATCCTGTAGGTCCCATACCTTCTGTGACATGAAAGGGATTACACTAGAGTTAGAAAATCCACAGGACAGAAGTGAAAAGTTTGTAAATACAAAAATTTGTTCCCTAGTGATAACATCATTACCCTTCTGCGGAAATAGCACAACAGAATTCCAACTAGTGTTATAGCTCACGTAGTCCCCCCTCACTATGCTAAGCCGGGAGGGGGAGGGGGGGTGAAGGAAAAGAAAGTGTTTCCTTTCTTTAACTCACTCAGTCCTTTGGGAAGGTTTCCTGTGATTTTTATTATACTGTAATGTTAATAGTATTTATTTATTTACAAATATTTATATACCAAGTGTAACTGAAGATTTCACAGCACTGCACAAAGATAAACATATAATGGTTGGAATCCTGTTGGCTTAGTGTAGTGCAGGGGCAACTGCCTATTTACCCTAACTTGCACTGGATTTGGCATGTATAAAATCAAAGTAAAAACCAGTGACTTCACCAAGTAAAACGACGTGTGGGGAAACCCGCTGCTTCTCACTAGGGAGTTGTCCCTTTTGTCCAGCTGGCAGGGGGCAGTTAATTTTGTTCCAGTTTGACTGGCATCACTTTCTCCCATTTTTCTGGCATATGTGCCTCCCTGATTTGAAGCAAAGGGGCCATCGTTGCAGTATCAACAGGCAAGCTATTATTGTAACTTTCCCTCATCAAAACATCTATTGTGTCTCCTTTTCCAAACAATCTTTCTATTTATTTATTTATTTATTTATTTATTTATTTATTTATTTATTTATTCATTCATTCATTCATTCATTCATTCATTTAAAATTATGCTTGGCAACGGGGGCCCTGTACCAGATAAGTACTATGGCACTTTGGAAAAAAATATATACATATACATATAGCTGAGATTGGCAATCTCCACTGGGTCCCCTT